ACTGCAGGGTCCGGAGGAAACGAGCCGGGGCCGAAATAGGGGTGGAGAGTTATTCCAGTTATTCGAACACCCCGGGCCAATTCGGAGCGTAGAAGTGGCTCTTAACTAAGACTTGCAAAGGCCTACAGCGGGTTTGCTGTAGGAGCCAAAAACCTAAAACGTGACCCAGGGGCCGGTCCACAGGAAAGTGGATAAAGAGGGGGGCATATTTCTACAATGGCATACTACACAGTTGAGGGGGAAAATTATAACATTGATGAATATCAAAAACATGGTAAGCGAAAGAAGCCATTATTAAATGTATTTTTTAATGTTTTCATTTTAGACAGTAGAGTTAGTGCCCTGCTCTGTTGAGAAAATTAGCACACTTCCTCCTAACACCGCCCCCCCCCCACACACACACACACGCCCTTTGTTAGTGTTTTCCCTAAATAAGGGATGATTCTTTTGCTGGCTTTATTAAGTGTGACTTTATTAAAATTTTAAAAATTTTCTCCAAATACACTATTAAGAGGATGAAAAGACATGGCACAGACTGAGGGGAAATAATTGCAAATAACAAGGCGCTCCGTCTCGCAGGATCAGGGAATGCAGAGTAACACACAAGAGTCCGCTGCACGCCTCTCCGAACGGCTAAAATTCAAAACTGCCTACGCCAAGTGCTGACAAGGATGTGGAGCAGCAGGACCTCTCATTCATTACTAGCCGGCTGGAACCATCGCGCTGGGAGACAGGGTGGCAGTTTCCTACAAAGCTGAACTCTCCCTGTGCTATCCGGCAGTCACACTCCTTGGTATTTACCCCAACAAGCTGAAAACGTCCACACAAAGCCCGACTGGCGTGGCTCAGGGGCTGAGCATCGACCTAGGATCCAGGAGATCACAGTTCAATTCCTGGTCAGGTTACATGCCGGGGTTGCAGGCTTGATCCCCAGTGGAGGGGGTGCAGGAGGCAGCTAATCCATGACTCATCATTGATGCTTCTCTCTCTCTCCCTTCCTCTCTGAAATCAATAAAGACATTAAAAAAGAAAACAAGTCCACACGGAAACCTGCACATAGATGTTTACAGCAGCTTTATTCACAATTATCAAGCTATGGAGGCTACAAAGGTATCCATATTTTTATCAGAAGAATCTAAGAAACACAAGATGGCGATATAACTCCAAGAAAGCACATGTATATGAGGTGCGGGCCCCCCCCCCCC